CAAGGAGGCTCAGAGAGGTTAAGGGTTATATCCTGTATTTCACAGCTGGTAGAACTGGAATTCAAATCTAGAATGCCTCTAAAGATGATGCTCTCAGCTGCTTATACCATACAGACTACTAAACATTCATATTGCAGGAGGATGTTCAGAGAAGCTGGGGTCACTATGGCAAGGTCCTTACAGATGGAAAAACTTGTATTATTATTATTATCATTATTATATGTATCATTATGAATCCAAATATAAAATAAATGATAACTTTCCAGAGCCTTTGGGAGGAGGCTCTGCTGCCATCCCCCCTCGTTTTGAGGCAATTTCTTGTTCATGTCTTCACCCTTCTTTATTTGCCTGCATGCTATAAGGTAGGTTGTATAATTACTGGCCCCAGTATTAGCCTCTGATTGGCCTAATCAATTATGATGATCATATTATCACCAATGATCAATTTAGACACAGACAGATACAATTTTTTTATCAACAAACTATGAAGAAATTTAATTGCAGTGCTCTCCAAATGTTTTTCTATGAATAATAGGTTGTTCCCTCTGACTAGGGAACTAACAGAGGGTTGTTCCCTCTGTTATTTACTACTTATTGCATCAGGTTTCTTGCTAGATGCTTCTGAAAATGCACTTTTATTCTCAGGAAAGAAAATGGCATGTTTTATCACCCCCTTCCTCAGAGAGAGAAACTCAGACTCAGGAGCAGGTGCCCAGCATTCAAACAGAATCAGCATTCAAACCCAGAAATACAGAGCTTCAGACACAGCAGGCTTTGTGCTAGGTGTCACAGCAGAATGCATCTAGCACAGGATCTTGTGAATATATATTTGACTCAGTCTTCAAAACTGTGTTCTGGTGGGGCAAGGCCCTGCAGATTCATGTGTAGCAAGAAGCTTAGTTTGTCCAATACCCTTCGAAATGGTAGCAGCCTGGATGTGCGCACGTGACCAGGATGAGAAATTCATTTGGTAATGCTGGCTGGAGAATATGGCTGAGAGATTTCTGTTGGCTGAAATACCTTGCTGTCAAGTTTGCATCATTTGGAGATTTTGATTGAAGTTGGGAACAGACATACCAAACAGAGAACTCCAAGTGATTGCAAACTAGTTCAACTTAAGCAACTGACTTACTTTCTTTCTTGGCTGAATTAGCTGGCTGGTAGCCCACGCTTACTTCCTTTAGGAAAAGCTTCATTAATACTCACCAATAGAGATAAAATGCCATCAATTACCCAGAGGGAAAAAAATAGGTTTTCATGCCGAAAATATTGTTTTCTCCGGATTTGTCACCCACCCCTCCAAGACAGGTTTCTCTGCCTAACAGACCCTGGCTGTCCTAGACTCGTTTTGCAGACTAGGCTGGCCCAAATTCACAGAGATCTGCCTGCCTCTGTCTCCCTATTATTAAAGGGGGGGGGGGCACTGCTAATTCTGATATTAAGTGCCATTTTTGAAATGAAGAATTATTTAAAAAATTTAAAGTCAGACTCCCCTGTTCCGATTATAAAGCTTACCAATGCTTTCACCTCCTCTCTTCCTTCCCCAGGCCAAGTCTTGCTAGATATCGCAAACTGGTCTTAAAGTTGTAATCCTCCTACCTCAGTGTCCCTGGCTCTGTAATTACATGTTTGCACCCTCATGTCTGGCTTCCACTCATCTTATATTTATTTTCATCATAGCTCCAAGGAAGATCCTAGGTGAACTTAATCATTGAGGGCTTGACTGTCTTACCTCAGCATCTAGTTGGAGTTATTCTTTTAAAAATTCCTTTGTCTTCTTTATCTATTTGCTATAGGTACCTATCATAGTACCTACCACTTCTCTCTTCTCTGTCTTGAATCATCTGCCACCTGCCTGTATTAGTGCTTCAGCAATTCTGTAAAGATGAACACAGTTGGATGACTTAAAACAACAGGAATGTAACTTCTAATAGTTTAGGAAGCCTTTCCCCTCTCTCCCTGCACAAAAAGAGGTCTGAAATGCAGGTGTCAGTGAGCTTGTCTCTGAGGAAGAAACTGTCTCATGCTTCCCTCCTTAGCTATTGGCTTGTGTCTGTATCCCCAAACTCCACCTCTGCCAACACATGGACCTCTTCCCTTTAAGCCTGTATACTTGGACTCCTCATAATGGTACTACCCATTGGGTTTAGAGCCCACTGTGGCCTCATCTAAATTACTCTTTCAAATACTCCTTTTGAAAACATGGTCAAAGCCCTAAGTTCTAAGCAGACATGAATTTGTGGGATGCTGTTCAATTCAGTGCACTACCGGTATCTGTCCTGCTTTAGTTTCTTACCTTACCCATGCTTAGAATCTGGTTTCTTGAAAAAAAATATATATATTTTTTCATACAGTACTTTCTGATCATGGTTTCCTTTTCCTTAGTTCCTCCCAGATCCTCCCCACCTCCCCAACTTTATAATTTCTTTCTCTTTAGAAAAGAAACAAATATGTAAAAAACCCACTAATAACAATAGTAATTATAATGCATCAAAGAAAAAGAACAGGAAACACACACACACACACACACACACACACACACACACACCTTAATAGCACAAAATTGGAAGCCATAATATACAAGCAAAAGACCAGTAAGATGAAAAGTGCCCACAGATAGCATTATGACACACAGACAAACCTACAAAAGTATCGCTGACTTCATTTTGTATTGGCCATCTACTGCTGGGCATGGGACATACCCTTAAGTATGGTTTATATCCCCAGTGAAACTCAGTAAGAGAGAAATAATATTTTCTTTGCAAGCTGTTGTCAGTTGGAGATAGCTTCCTGATAGGGATGGAAGCCAGTGTCTGCTTCCCCTCTCCACACTTGGACCCCATCTGCCTTGAACCTGTGCAGCTCCCATGCATGCTGCCAGTTTCTGTGAGTTCCTGTTGACCCTTATCTCTTTTCAGGCATATTGTTAAGTTTCTCTGATTTATCTACTTGATTTCTTGAGTGCCTGCTTTATTCGAAGACAATCAAAATCCAAGATGCATTCTCGCCCTTAGAGTTCTTATGATTCAATAGAGGTACATTAAAAATACTCTGATCATAATTATGTTTAAAGCATGACCAATAATATAGCCCACATGGAAGGTGAGCATTGTTGATGTGAGCTCGCTCCTCAGCTGTGATGAGAATTCTCTGACAGGGACTGGAGATGTTGGGGAAGGCTAAGTGAGCACAGGGTCAGGAGGCCCCTTGGAAATCTGTGTACCTGCAGCTCAGTTCTCCAGTGGATTTCAAATTTCTCTGAAAAATAAACTATTAAAAATTATGTTTAAAGTCATAATGTTTGTGTTATTATTGTGCAAATACATGAGATCATAAAGGGAAGTATGATTTATATTGGTCAGTCTCTGTGGGGATTTGAAAAGAGAGATACTATCTGTGAGTTTATTCTCTTGTTGACTCTTCTGTTTATTTTTCTGAAGCATTGGGATCAAATCAAAGGCCTTGGACATGCTACACAGGTTCTATTCTACTGAACTACATCTGCAGTCCCTTAGCTGGGACTTTGTATTATGAAGGAATTAGCTGAGCAAATGTCAATGGAGAAGAGCATTTGAGGGGGAAGAGACAATAGCAGGTTTAGGGAATCCAAGGCAGGAAAGCCATGGTTTATCTTCCTTCTAAAATAAACATCATGGTACAGGTGTAATGAACCAGAAAGTGGCATGAGAGGGCTGAGATCTGAGCAAGGGCAGGTACCACAGGACATGCCAACATTTCAGATTTTGTCCCAGGAAAGATGGCTGCCAAACAGAAGAATGAACTGCCATGTGGAAGTCAACTAAAGGAAGGCAGGTGCAAAACGAACCTGTTAGCAGCCATTTGTAGTGAGCCAGGTAAGGGATGACAGCTTGGACGGAGTGATGGGGCTAGAGATGACAATAGGTAGGCATATTTGGGACCTATTTTGTAAAAGATATGGCTTGTTTATGGAGTAGAAGGTGGACATGTGAGGCAGTCAGCATCTCTGCCAGTCTGTGGAATGTATGGCTAGGTGCGCAGAAGTACCACCAGAATGCAAAGCCCCGGAGGAAAAGCAGGGTGAAGAGGAAGCATTAAGTCATTGGTTTCTGACAAGTGAAATTTGAGATGCCTGCAGGATATTCAAGAGGAGATGTCAAACAAAAAGGCAGAGATGCACTCTGTTGGGAGTTCTTGCCAAATAGAGGCTATTTGAGCAATTATTGGCTTTAGATGTGTTTTCTTCCTTTTTAATGTCAGGATGGCCTTGTACTTGTTTATTTGGCTCTTTTAGAGTATTTGGGCCATGGCAGTGGTTACAGTTTCCGGTCTCCTATTTTAATCATCCAAATTGGGTCTTATTTTGCAAACTTGTTTTTAATTACACTGTAAAGACACAGCCTTTCGAGAAAAAGAAAAAAAAAATTGACTATTTACGTGCCTTAGCCCAGTCACATAGCAACTCTGGCTATTAGTTTGTTTGTTTGTTTTTTTAAAGAATAACAGCAGTACTGATTGTTTTAAGTTTTGAAAACTTATGATCCTATAATCTGACAATTACTAGTTGAAGCATGTCTAAATTTTAAACTGACAAAGGGCTTATAAGTCAACACTCACTATTGGGGATGTAGCAATGTTTTGAGCTAGATTTTAAGACATGTTAGGAAATGCACACCAGAACCATCAATTCAAGGCTAAAGCAAACACTGTTTATGTTAGTCCCAGATATCCTTGCTACAATTTAGAAACATGTCTTCCATACTTACAGATTTTCCAGGATTGTAGAAAAGAAGTAGAAATTTAGATTTTTTTTTATCTGTCAAAATAAAATCACATTGAACTCTAAAACAAACGTGTCACTGAACAGTATTGTAGGAATGGACATTTTTCAAGCAAATCCAGGGATCAACATGTCATTGCATATCCTGCTACATTATTGATCAGGAGGCACAACTAACATCATGACCTTAAAGTTCAGGGGAAAGCTATCCAGAGCAATAGTGTCACTAGTCTTTCCATACCTCAGTGACAGCAAAGCTTCTCTTTCCGCAGGGAACCACCTTGTACCACTTGTCATGAAGCACGTCCATAAACCCGTGAGACTTGTATTGACTGATGAGCTCAGATATATTAGAAGTCAGTGGAGAGCTGGGAGGGAGACCAATGCCATATCCTAGAAGAAAATGCAATCTTTTATGAGTTCTTCACACCGATCTGAGAGGTGATCACCACACTTGTGTGATAATTGCCTCAGGATCAGGTCACAAGGGTATGGTGAATCTGTGTTATGCTTCCCTCAAAGAGCTCCAGAAGGCACTCAGACACAGTTACCCTTGAGTCAGCTGTACCTCTGAGAATATTCAATGAGTCTGATTCTGAAAAGTAGAGGATGTACAGGTATATTAGTAAAACATTTAAAAATGTTTTGTGCTTCTCTTCTTGGAGGTTTTTTTTTTTTTTTTTTTAAACTAGGTTTCAGATTCTGTAGCCATCTTTCCCAGTAAGTGGTATGTAGTGGTCAATCTTAGTTGTCAACTTGATGGGACTGAGAAGTGCCTAGAAGATTAGGAGAGTGCACCACTCTGTATGTTTGTGAAGGTATATCTAGGGAGCATTAATTGGGGAAGAGTTTTCAGTCTATTAACATGGGGGAAGAAATAGAAGAGTTTATTTTGACAGCAAGGAAACAGAAGGGCATAACAGAGGGGGGCATGGTAAATATATAGCTCCCATAGTGCACCTCTCAAAAATACTGTCATTTTATGAATTCATCAAGGGACCATCCATTGATTAGATCAGAGCCTTCAGGAGCCAACCATTTCTGGCATAACTGGCAAGGAAGCCCCCAACATAAGAACTGATAGAGGATATTATATATTCAAATCATAATACCACCCAAACGTATAATACACTATGAAAAGTAAAAGAGCCACAGGACTTATAATACTAACTTTAATTGTCAAAAAAGTGGTAATGTCAAATGTTGGAGAAGATATGGAAAATAAGAATGCATATTGATGTAATTACTCTTAAAAATAATTTGGTGACATTTTGTATAGTTGAATGATTATATTAAGACCTAAGAACATTTCCAAACAACTCCTCCACAAGTACATCAGGAAATGTGGCTAAGAAGACTGTTCATAACCACAAAACTTGGAAAGAACCCAAATGCTGTTTGACAAAATCTTGAGTAAATAAATTATGGAATAATTTCATGATTGGGATATTACATAACTGAGACATATGCATTAGAGATGAACAGAATGCTATATGCACAACTCGTAGCCATATGCTACTTGGGAAAATGCCATTTCTTCAAACCTATGGCATAAATTTATTTTGTACATATAGAAACCCTCATGGTAAAATAATACACATGGGTGGATGAAACTACATTTAGAAAAAAAAATCAAAGATATGATAACTTAGATATCCAAGATGGCAGTAATGCTAGACATAAGGAAGCAGGAGAAGGGATCCAGAAAGAGAACAAAGATGAGTGTAGTTGTCAGAGTTTTATTAATCACCTTCGACTGTATTCTTACACTGTCTGGCTCCATGGCTTTCCTAACTGTTAACACACTGCTAATCTCTTTGAGGAGCCATGTGAAGAAGGCTAATTAACAACATCTTGTTCTTAGTTATTAGATCTCACAGTCAAAAAGATTTTTCTTTTTGCCCTCAAGATGATTGAGGGAGACAAATTAAAAATGCAGTTAGTTCCCGTCTCACAGATAAAGACTAAAAGGCTGTCAAAGATTCAAAGATACTTAATGAGACAAATACCTGCTCTAATTATTTCACTTTACAACTCAATTCCAAAGGTATTTGTTTTTGTCCTTTTTTTTTTTTTTAACTGGAGATACACAAATCCCTTTTAAAGATATGAAGCTCATGATGTGGAGGAGACATTTGTAGTACCAAACAGTTTTTGAGTTTTAAAGAATCATATATTGAGTTTTTGTGATAATTTTGTTTGTTTCTTAAGAATGCAGCATCAAGAAGATGATGACAATGTCTAAAGCATAATTTGGACTTTCTGTTCAAACAGCTATTAGAGCCTGCTTTGTGACTGGTGGTTTTTATATGAAAGTGAGACTGATGATAATAGAATTTAAATGGGTTGCTGATGTTTTCATTAAGTAGCACTTTGTATACTAATGACTATGATTTTTAAAAGGATTTATTTTTGTTTAATTTTTTTGTGCATTATGAATACCTGCATGTATTCAATGCGCCATGTTTGTACCTGGTGCCCAAGTAAGCCAGAATAGGGCACCAGATCTCCTGGATCTGTAGGTACCAGTGGTTGTAGGTACCTGATGTGGGCGGTGAGAACTAAACACAAGTTTTCTGCAAGAGCAGCAAGTGCTCTTCACAGTTGAATCATCTTTCCAGCCCACGGGCAGCTTTTCTAAGGAAGGTTTGATTTTCTGATAATTCAGTTTTCCAAATATGTTTTTAGTCTTTATTACCAGGCTGGGTATAATACAAGGCCCTGTATCATAATCTTCTCTAATCTATCGACTCTCCTCTAGTCATCCATTTATCTGTTCACTCATCAAACACTTTATTGAGTAAATGGGTACTGTGTGAAGTGGTCCATATATGTTAGTGAGGAGACATATTAACAGTTAACTGCATGAAGCTAATTTCATTACAATTGAGACAGGCATTGGGAAGGAGAAGAAAAAGGGCATTAGGAACAGTGTGGGGGAGGATTTGGGACTGTGCGATGGAAATGGGCTAAGGATAATTAGCCTGGGTTAACTTTGCTGAATATTAATGCATTTTCCTCACTGAAGCAATAACTTTCAACAACTTCTAACATTTATCAAGGACTTTCTATATTGCTCCCAAGTACTGATCTTTAATAGTAGCATATTTTACCCCACAGTGCAAATTATGCATTAGAAATAAATTTTGACGATTTTGTGATATCATAGTTCAGTCAAATTACTCTGGGATTCTGACAATAATAAAGCTTACAATATTCCAAGTTTTCTGTGTGTCCCGAATGTTCCCCACAGGTGGATCCATGAGAGAGTATGTATTACCTAAAGAGACTTGAATCTTGAATGATTAAACTGACAAAATGACAATCAGTTGCCAGCAAAACTAATGTTTGAAAGTAGGTCTCCTTGATTCTAAAAATAATATACAAAACAAGTCAAGGGATTACTTGATCCATTTCCTTCAATTCTCTGTAAGCCTATTCTTTGTAACCATGTGGATGCCATCCTCCCCAAATCAGTAATTAATTTATTAAGAAACTAGTCTTAGAGCTGGAGTGGCCAGCAGCAAGGGCACTCACTGCTCTCCCAGTGGCCCTTCCAGCACTCATATTGGGAGGTTCATGACAGCTTGTAACTTCAGCTCTAGGGGATTCAATGCTCTCTTCTAATTTCTATGTGGATCCTCCTATATACAGCAAATACTCACAAAGACACACATACACAAATAGGTGAAAAAAAATAACCCAATCTTCAAAGGCATGTTTCATTAGCCAAAAATATTCTTCAGAAAACATACCTTTGAAGTGTAATTTTGTTAATTACACTTTATTCACTTTGTATCCCCCATAAGCCCCTCCCTCCTCCCCTCCCAGTCCCACCCTCCCCCTCCCCCTTTTTGTGCATGCCCCTTCCCAAGTCCACTGATAAGGGAGGTCCTCCTCTCCTTCCTTCTGATCTTAGTCTATCAGATCACATTAGGAGTGGCTGCATTGTCATCTTCTGTGGCCTGGTAAGGCTGCTCCCCCCTTAGGGGGAGGTGATCAAAGAGCAGGCCAATCAGATTATGTCAGAGGCAGTCCCTCTTCCCATTACTATGTAACCCACTTGGACATTAAACTGCCATGGGTTACATCTGTGCAGGGGTTCTAGGTTCTCTCCATGCCTGGTACTTGGTTGGAGTATGAATCTCTGGGAACATTTTTTATCTGCTCATAAGTTCCAGAAATGTGTATAATGTTGTGGGGGTGTTTGCATTAAGCTAGAGGAAGATCCTGCCTGTGAGGGACTAAAGTGGCACACTCCACAGCTGTGCAGCATGGTGGAAACCTACATGACTTTTCTTGGAGAAGAGATAGGTGAGGTATAAACTCAAAACAGATAACATATAACAACCAAACTCAATAAAGAGAGCAGAGAACATTTGGTGGGAGTTTAGAGGAAAGAGCAATTACTACTGAATGAAAGGAATGCAGAGACATCTTAGATTGATTTTGATAGTGCCTATTTTTTTTGAAGTAGAGACCAAAATGTATAAGAAAGTTTGAAAATGTGAAATTACAACCTATGATTAAACCTACATATTGTAAGAATATAATTTTGGTACCATAACAATAGCAGTAAGAGTCCCCAAAGAAAGCTATGTTGAAGCTTGAAAGATATTTATAAGAAATTGCTGCCCAGGATATAATGAATATTAAATCATTCTACTCCATCATGCCTCGATTAATTTGCAATGAAAGCTAAAAATAGATTGACATCCTTTTAACTTTTTATTTTAATATGTATATTGGACATTGATGTTTCAATGATTCCTAGCATTAATAATAATTATTAACTAATTAAAACAAGGGAAGAATAGGAAAAATTATGTGTCTGTGAAGGGGGAATTTACTACAATACATAAAAATTCATTTTATTCAGAAACATAAAACAGAAAATCTTGAAAGTTTCATTCCTTTTGTTTCATCAGCCACTTTTCAAAATTGGTTGTGTTCATTGGTCAAAGGGTCCTTATTTTTGAATTGCTGACTGGACTTAGTCAGAGTTGCCTAAATTATCATTGGAACTGCAACTTTGCAGTACTGACAGGCCTGAGTGTTTGTGGTTGATGGATGAAGCAACTTGGAATCCTTCAACCCTAAAGATGAAGGCATCAGGCACCCTGGAAATTGGATACAGCTTAATAGCCCAAGAAAACAATTTCCCAAATAGAATCCTGATCTTTCACCCATGGATAAGTCAGCTTTACTCATTTAAGAGTGGTGAAAATAGAGGCGGGGCAAGATGGTGGCGCCGGGAGGACTCTCATTCTGAGGGGCAGCACAGCAGGATTGTCACAGTGACCAGCAATCAGAACTCGCGGCCATAAAACACAATGTTTCACAGGTGAGAGGATACCCCATGGTGGGGGATTCAATCAGCTTTAACTCACCCG